TGATTCCTGCCTCAGTGCCTGAGAACCTCATTAAACCACTTAAATTCACCTCTGCCAGCTCGTCTCTGCATTTGGGTCCTCCTTAACAAACACCCTTTCCTGATAATTGGTGGTTCTCTCTGCTTCTTGGGCTGCGTCGATGCTGGAGCTCAGATGGGCTAAAACTACCAGCGTGAATAAGATCAGCCTTTCATAGCGCTAACAGCATAGCTGAAATATGACAACTTCTACTTCACTTCACGCTTAGCGCTTTAAATTAGGCAGACAGTCGTCACTAAAACCTCCTCATTCAGTCCTCTTCTAAACGAACTGTTTTGGCTTTCCACAGTCCATCCTCCTAAAGGCCACACCCCCACCATGTGCAACAATGACAACCAGCCAGAGTTCATAAAGATAGCCTAGGAGTGTGGGGTTATACATTAAATGAAGGCCGTAGCTTGGCTGAGGCGCTGCTACAGACCGCTGTGGACAGCTGATTTTCCCCGATGACATCATAAGAGGAAGGCTTTTTAAACAGAGCATTTTGAGCACATGTTAGGTCAGAGTGATAGAGGTAAAAAGGTTTTCCTTTCTGAGCCTCATATACAGGCTTCACAACACATATGAAAAAATGTTTATAATATGAATTTCGTGTAAATCCAGATAATATAATAATAACTGAAAAATGTAGACGAGTCCAGGAAGAGACCTGTTTACATCCTGATTAATGTGGAACTGAGCGCATATGCTCAGTTCCACATTTGTTACCTAAGTAGAAGTATAGATACTGCAGTTTAAAAACACTCTGTTAAAAGTTCAAGTATCAACTTGACCTCTTTACTCAAGTAAAAGTGAAAAAGTATGTGCTCCAAAAACTACTTAAAGTATAAAAGTATAAAGTAACCTTTCAAAAAAAAACAGCCAGATGCCGCTATATGAATTAAAGCTCAATTTTTAACTATTTCTATAAATTCTCTGAGATAGGTCAAAGGATGAGGGATGTCTGGTTGGTCTCCGTCTCCCGATACGCTCTCGCCTGTGTCCGACCTTTCAGACATTTCAGCATCTTTTTCTGAATCCCACATTGTAGCATGGCATAGACAATTCACGTTAGCAGTTTGAAGAACACCTGCTGGCTTCTGATGATTTCCTTTAGCTAACCAATGAGTGTTTGCGTTCTATGACTCATCCAATCACACTAGTTTTCACTAGATGTGGGTGGAGCCAAGGATCTGCATTGGATGGAGCACATGACGGGAAATAAAGATTTAGAAACATTAAACCAGGGGTAACTAATTAATAATCAGTGGGTCTGAATAAAGAAAATCATCAACCAGTAAAGGTCTGGAGACATTTTTACTTTAAACTGAATTTAACAATGAAATAAAATGAGGTGTTTATGCATTAATGTTATACATTGAATTTTTAAATAAAAAAGTTATAAAAAAAAAGGTTTCCATTTTAAAATCTGAAGTGTTTCTTGAAGTAGCAAATAACAATCGTTCAGTTTGGTTTATAGACAATTTCCTGATCTCCATGTTTTATAAAACACCTGAACTGATCTGTCTGCTCCGGTCCGGCCAGGTCAGGATCCGCTATTACAATCGCACCAAACAGGAACAAGAACGGCGAGATGGTCCGGTTTGTCAAAGTAAAATATAGTAACAACAGATTGGTAACTACAAATTAGAGCATAATTCTTCTATGGGTCAAAAAACTAAAACCGTTTATTTCAAAGATTGGATGCAAACTATTGGTTCTTCAACAGACCAGGAAGCAGAATTCTCATCTCCATCAGAAACTGAACATCTGCTGGATGCTGATGGGGATTATTTTAATCTGTCATATTAAATTAAGCATTCATTTATGCATGTTTTGCTCCTACAAATTTAATGATAATATCGGGCATGCTCTCCTCGAGCTCTGAGGATAAGTCGGAGCGCAGCGATACGGGAGGAACAACGGAGGCTGTAGGCTTTGCTTTGCAGGAGGTCTGGAGCGCTGCAGAGCGGAGACGGAGGATGTGGGATTTCAGGGTAACAGGAGAAGCGGCGCAGTCCGCTGATCCATGACCTCTGCATTAAACCGAAGCCAAGAGTAATGAGTAACGTTTGTTTTAAAAATGTAAGGAATAGAAAGTACAGAAACTTGTGTGAAAATGTATTGAGTAGAAGTAGGAGGAAAAATAATGTAGATACCTAAAAAGTGTACTTAAGAACAGTAACGAAGTATTTGTACTTTGTTACTTGAGACCTCTGCCGCTTGCTACTCATCTAATCCATCTGCTACTGCTCCTCTATATACAGCTCAGTCCCAGCTATCAGAGCCAGATTATTGAGGTTGAGATCATTGCTGATGGGTCCAGTGGTTAGAGAGGTTTTTGGCATTTTCGTAGTATTCCTGATTTCCTGATCCTGATCTGCCTCTTACCCACTGATCGTTCCCTGTTCCTGTCTTGGCTCAGTGGAGAGAGCGAGGTTTTAGTGTTCCATAGTGTTCCTGATATCCTGCCCTATTCTGCCTCTCAACCACTGAGCTGATTGTTCCCATCTGAACATTCTGCCTGAATTCTCTGTTGAATCCTGGAACCCTGAACCAACCTGTTTGTGTTCTGATCCCTGCCTGGGCTACGGACTCCTGGACATCTGATCCTTCCTTTCTGATCCGTTTCCCTGACCTGGCTCGGTCTCATGCCCGCTGGGACTGCAGCATTGGGGACATGCTTGGCGGTGCCTGCCACATCTAGTTGCCATCCTTCCGGATTGATCCGACCGTGTTAAATGGAGATGGACTGAACTGATAAACCAAGTGACTCACATGGATAATCATCCTCCGTTAGGTTATCATGGTCACTTGCCTGTGTTTTTCTCCACCAGAGTTTCCAGTGATGGGCGGTGACCTGCCCCAGCCCTAGCTGCTGCAGATGCACAACTCTGCGTCTGTTTCAATAAACGCCTTTTAAGTAATCACCGTTTGTCTCGCCTGAATTCTAGGTCCTACGTTCTGAGTCTATGACAATAGTCACTTATATTATCTTTGGCATTAAGGGGATTCATATGGGGGGTGGGGAGGTTATTCGTCTGCATGGGAGGGGCTGCGGTAAGGAGAGCAAAATAGAAAATAGTCCCTATGATTTGTTACCAATAAGAGGAGTTTGGCTGCAGCATTTAGCACTAAAAGCAGAAACCTGGAGCTCCAGTTTATCTGATAAAGCCCCCGTTCAGACAAGATGGTGTCTGTTCTGCCGCCTCTGATTTCAAGCCTTGGGAGGGAACGTAATATAGCCAGCTTAGAGTGGGCCATCAGCTGTATAGTAATCCCTTATTATTAGTCAACATTTCTAGATTTGATAGATCTGGCGTCTGTTGTTTTTGGTAGCAGCAGTGTGAGAACAACAGCGCCAGCAGAGGCCTTCTGTGTGTCTCCCATATGGCACATTGTTTGTCAAACAGGTTGCATGTTGTCAGCTGCAGCCACAGCGCTGAGTCCCAGTCTGCACGCCACACGCTCAGCGCTTCACATTTCACAACACTTCTCTGCCTAAAAGACAGGAAGTCAAGAGAAATATTGAGCATTTCTGCAGGTAGGGAAGCATAACTGGAGCTAGATGTGATTAGGATCCTTAGTGGGTGATTTAAGAAACTACCAGGTTTATTATTTAATGTAGATTTGTTTCTAAATCAGCAGCCGGTCAGTTAAAGGATCCAACTGTGGGGATGTCAGCAGAAATATCTCCTCTACAGATTGCGCTCTTTTCAAAGCTAAATTGGAAAAATATTTGATTTCCAAACACGCCTCTCAGGTAAAAGCACAACAGGCCTGAGTAACCTCTGTGATAATTGGGAAGCTTTCGATATCCAGAAGCAGCTTGGAAGAAGAGTGACGAACAAAACATTAATAAGCTTTTTAACATTAGTGGAGCGAGACTGACTGAATTTAAACTGACTAACGTTGCCTTTTTTAGGCTCCAGGTGTGCAAATAAAGAATAAAGAAAAATAAAACTTTTTTTATTTTATCCATTACTTTAATCATTGAAGATTTCAACTATAGAAATAAAAAACAGTTTCTGCTTCTATTTAAATTTGTTTAACCAAGAGTTGAGAGACACCTGCTGGGTGATTGAGTTCATTCTCCTCCAAAGGTGGAAAACTAACCAATGAGAATCCAATGACTATTAAAGAGACAAAGGAACAACCTTAGATATACGGCTTCTTTAGGATATAAAACAGCTAAGTTATCAGAAACAACATCATAGGAACCAGTTCCCACTGATGGTCAGAGTAAACACTTCTTTGAAACTGGAACTGAGTTAGGCTACATTAACACAGCAGCCTGAAGTCACCCAAATCCGATGTTTTTGCCCATATGCGACCTGGATCTCATCTTTTCACGACAATCCGAACAATTTAGATCCGACTTTTTCAACGCGACCCAGGCCCAGGGGTCGTTAAAGGGAATTGTTGTCCTGTAAAGGGGTTGTGATGATAACAGGAAGGAATCAACTCTATCGTAGTTTTGAGTCCATCCCCCCCCTCTGTTTAAGGTTGTTTTTTCTTTCTGTTCCGTTCCCTTTAACGACCCCCCTTTCAGAGACAGAGACAGGTATGGGGCATTGCAGGCTAACAAAGAAGCCAAACGACCCCCATTCCAAAGGGGGGGACCCGTTCATCCGTTTCTATTTGCATGTTTTCTAAACTAAAACCAGGCTTTGTTGGGCTGCTGGATAAAACCTGGAACTAAACGCTAATTCTGACATTTTGAATTAAAAAAGCTTCCTGGATGGAAGAGAAACGTCTTTAAACTTGGAAACAAAATCCAGCGGCCTCCATACATGGATGGCATGTTTGACCCCTGTGCCATAAAACTAAGAATAATGTCTGCACTATTTCATATCCAAGAATGAACTAGATATACGATAAGGTACGATACGATACGATCCTTATGTACATGTTTAACTAGTGATTGGACGCAGAGGCCGACATGAACAGAAAGCTTCAGATGTGTCGTAGGAATCTCTTACTTCGATCTGAAGCAGAGCCTCCTCTCTCTGATGAAGAACCTCCACATCCTCCTCGCTGATCTCAGACAGGAAAGCCTGAGCTCCTTCTTCAGGACCTGCAACGTTTAGGAGCAGCGGGTCCTCCTGGTTCTGCTCACTGGATGGACTCTGAGGAGGCAGAAGGGCAAAAATGTTTGGACCTTTAATTCTTTGTTCAATTACAAAGTCACTCACTGTAAGGTGACAAAATAAAGTCGTTCGTTTTCTGATTGCTTCATCCTGACCAATGGAGCATCAGACAAACTTCCTGAGACATAAAGGCATTATTTTTATTCTCAATCTGTTTAAAAGTTATTTAAAAGGGACAGATGCAGGTTTGCTTTCATTTCCATTTCCCAGAGTTTCATTTATAGGATTTGTTTTAATAGAAATTACTCCAAAATAAATGTGATTAGATTTAGAGCCTTTTTCTGACCTCGTCTTTGGAGATTCAAACTTTTCTGTTCAGCTGGTTTTAAGAGCAATCAGATTTTCCTTTTACAGAAGCCCAGAAAGGCAAGTCTAAAAAAAAAAAAGAAGTTAAGTAAGGTTCTACGTTTTTTTCCCTCCTCTTAAAAGAAAGTGGGGAAAAAAAGAGTTTTTATAATACTTTGTTTGGCCACTAGGGGCACTATATATTTTAATTGAGAAGTGCAGTCTCGATCCTTAAAGCGAGCAGTGTTCATGTTTTAATCAAAATATCCATTACTACTGCAATTAATTCTATATACCTGAAATATATATAAGAGATGATAACCTGATAGCACGGCCAAGAAATGAACAACGTTTCTACCTTCATTGCTTAACTTTATATAACTCATTATTTAACTTTCATTCAGTCCTGGAAACCAGGCGTTCGTCCGTCATTTAAAGAACAAAGACATCAGTGGAGGTCTGTGGTTTTACTTTAGTGCCTCTAGTGGAGAAAAAAAGTATTACAAAAACAATAAAATGAGTTAAGTTTTTCTCTCACTTGCCTTTCAGGGCTTCCGTATTTTCATCAGGTTCTCGTCTGACAGCCTGACCGTGAACTTTTGACCTTTTCATTGAACTGATATTAATGATATCAAAGCCTAACCTGAAGACTAACATCTATTAGTCTGCAGATGACATTCAGCCTGAAGCAGCCTGGAGAGAGGAGGTCACTCTAAGGAAACACGCAACATTTCATGAATAAAAAAATGTGTTAAACTATTTGGACATTTAGCCGTCATCCTGTTATATTATTACAAAGTTATATTATATTATTATTGCCAAACATTATTGTTGGAAATAAAAACATTTCGCCAGAATCGTTTCCCTCACATAGCTGCTGCCAGCATTGACCCAGCTCTGCACAGCGCGATTCTATTTACTTCAACTGAACCGTTGTTTATAGAGGAAGAGAGATTTCCTGTTTTACAGCAAGCAGTGATCACATGATCAGACATGTTTCATGTTATTATTATTATCATTATTAATTTTGGTCCTAAAGTTCCCGGTAATTTTTCTTTTTAACCATCTTCTTTCTATGTTATTACGCGTTTATTTTTTGTTTTGTTTTCTGTCTCCTGTTCAGTGGGATTAATAAACTGCTCTAATTCTGATTACAGGATCAGATAAATATGTTCTCTTTAGTTTCTTCTGGAATGAACCGGTTTAGGCCGCATCGTAACAAGCTGAACTCACACTACAAATTAAAAAAATAACGCTCCTCTGAACGCTCAGAGAGGATCGGGGGGGGGGGGCAGTAGCCATGTCATGGACGTGCAGTGCTGTGCATCATCCTAAGTCATCAGAGAAATCCAAACAGGAGGCATTTCCAAAATGGCAGCCGTTTTGGTGAGTCCATGGGGCTGTGCAGAGGAAGTGAAAATGTGGAGTGCAGCCACAACCTACGCTCCTTTAAAAGCACAGAATAACAGAAGGCAGAGCAGGAGCCGCGGTGTGGAAAAGCTTTCTTTGCATTGCTAATATGTCTCCCTTTTGTGAGGTTGACAGCACAGCTAGTTTGAGGTTGAGGGGCCAGGATGTGTCAGAGCGTAGAGACCAACCTGGGCTGACTCACAGCGCTGTGTCTGCTGGCCAGCCTGACTCACAGCTCTGCTAATTCTGCAACGGTGCATCCACTCCTCCACAAAACTGCAGACCACGGTGCAATGCTTTAGTTTGGCAAACAGACGAGGGGGAGAGACGGCAGGATGACCGTGCTGACGCTTCAGTCCAGAAGTTTACTGATAACTTCAAACAACTCTGAGCATCTTCTCAAAGCTTTCTGCTCCATCCTGATTATTATTTAAAGAAAACTGTGGGAAGCGGTCGATGCCTTTGGTCCAGGAAATGCTCCCAGATATGCATATGAGATTCAAAATGTCACCTTTTATAATTCTATATATTCCCACTGCTAATATTGACCCACATTTGAGGAAAAATTCTCCTTTCTTTGTAGCATAAAATGTTGTTTGACCAGCTAGTTCCTCCACAGTACACCCACTGATTAGTGAACTCTGTGGGACACAGAAATGTAATTTACCATTCAGCTCTCCACCCCCGAAGGCCTCTCTGTCTGATTCCTGCAGACCTTGATTATGTGCCTTTAGAGGGGACTAAAATGATAATTTATGTGACTTTCCTCTCTATAAAACAGATGGATTTTAGAGGCTCTATGAGGAAACAAATGTTCCTCATTAAACTCCTTCTGCAACTTCAGTCCAAGCTACAGTTGGGAGGAGAGGAGGAGGTGTTAAAGGAAACGTCCTCCAGTAACTCTCAGACTTCTTACTGGATTATTGCTGCAGAAGACATGAAAATTATCCAGAATGCTGCAGTGATGCATCTAAAAAAAGGTCTCAGTTTGTTTGGAGAATATTTAAAATCTGTGTATTAAGGCGTGTGGGGTTGTTACCATGGTGATATTATATTCACCACATAGCTCAGATCATGTTTACACAAACATGTAACCTGATGGTTGACATGTAAAAACATCCATAGAGTAAATCTAGGTGTATATTAATGCAGTAGCAGCCATTCAAAATGGCCTTTCCTAGTCAAACGCAGCCTAATGGGGGCCATCTTCCAGCCACTGGAGTGCCCCCCTCCTCCTGGGCGTGCATATATTCCTACTCTGACTCCACCCTTTCACTGAGTTACAGGCTCTGACCAGGAGATAACGCTACCCATTAGAGTTTAATGTCCTAAAATTAGATCTTTAAAAAAGGAATTTCAGGGGACCAGCCAAGGTAAAATTCTCCAGTATGAGATCAGCAAAGTTCAATTATTATTAGTAGTATTATTACTATTATTATTATTATTAAGCCAATCCATCAAGTTCAATATTCCAGAATTGAGGTGGGAGCAGTTGGGACGTCCAAACACGCCGTGCTCAGCAGGACGACCTCAGTAGATCATCTTCAGCTCCATCAGGATCATCAGGGTCTCTCAGAAGGAGATCGGAAAAATATTGGTATGATTTCCTTACTGGGTGAAAATATCCACTTTCCTGGTCTAATGGGACTTGTTGGTGCTAAATGGTCTGAGGTGATATCTAATGCTACTTTCAGACTCCAGGCTGCAGTAGCAGCTAGTTAACATGCAAAGTCAATGATTGACGCACATCACAGTGCGTCAAAAGGTCCTGCAACACGTTTTGAGCAGCAGGAGCAGTGGCTCATGATCTGCTGAGCATCTGAGGAGCGTGACAGGCTTCACAAGCAGCAGCTGTTGGAAATAGAAAAATGTAACTTTAGCCGCCAGATGCGTCACATCAACCAATGAGAGCAGCTGATCTGGGAGCTGGCAGGGAGTCAGACGCAGCACTGCTGATGCAGAGCGCTATGATCACTCCTCTGAAACAGTTTATTAACGCCTAGATTAACTTCAAATTAACTAAATTAACTGCCAGCAGAATATGTTGGCTTTTATTATCCTGCTGCCTGCAGTTTGGATTACGTAAATGAAAAATGCCTTCAAAGGAGGCTCCCGGGCCTGAGGCAGCTGCTGCTGGGGATTCCCAGTGACAGCGCAGCGCCGGTATGTGGGGGTCTGAGCGGCTCCCACAGAGAAATAATCTTTGAAGGCAGGATGGTAATCTGGATGAACTGACTGCACAGACCATGTTTTCAGGAGGACTTTCTCACTTCAACATAGATTCTAACTACTTTCTACCCGCTGATCACAGCTAATATAGCAAAGCTGCTCTCTGGCGTTGAACACAGGAGCAGCAGAAGCATCTGGACTCACTTTACTGGACGTCTGATCTTAATGTGGATCATAGACGAAGCAGCAGAAGCTTCTTTGCTGCTTCCAGCGCTTCTGGTCTGAATGTAGCATTATTCATTAAATAAGCCAAGCGACTCTCTTGACTTCATCCGCCATTGTTCCAGGCAGAGAAAGGATAGGGTAGCTCCGCCCAATACGCATCAAACCCACTTTTCGACAGCTACTGCAGCAAAGATGCTTCAGCCGCGTGTCACAAATAAACTTGTACAAGCATAAAAAATGAGCTGCGTGCGCTCTAAACGTAGCATTAGCCTCACTGAGCATCTGGAGATAGAGTCTCTAACATCCACCAGGAGGACAATCCTCTGCTGAGCTTCATGCCAAGGAGGAAAGTAATGGTAGCAAAAAACACCATCGACACTTCACTTTGTTTAATAATGGTCTCTGTTGAGAAACTAACAACTCCAGACTGGTTTAGTGACTGCTTCCAGTGGCTACTGTCATCCCTTAAGGAGAAATAACAGGACAGGATGTCTCAGGAACAGATGAGGTTCTTTGCATGGCATGGCTCACCCTGACCTAATACAGACGCCTAAACGCCGGCTCAGACAGATGGAGGCAGGAAGTGACGATAGCGGGAGTCCATCAGCTCAGAAAAACCTTTTTAGATTGACATCAAACAATGAGGGTTGATTTAGTTTCATTTACTTCCTTTATAGGATGGACAAAGAACAGATTCTTTGCCACCAGGGCAGGATTTAAAGGAAAAGTCCGCTGACATTCAGAATTCAAAGTTCCTTAAATCTGAAATGATTCCATCCTGTTCAATAAATGATCAGTGTTTTTAATTCAGAGTAATTTCCATGTGAATGTGCTTTACTGGAGGCATCCATGTTTGTCAAAGAACACTACTGCCACCTACTGGTTAGCGACGTCACGGTGCGGTATCGGCTGTTGATCAAGTCCCAGTGCTGTATCTGGTGTTTGTCACAACGCGCTATTATCCAAGTCATCTTGAAAACATTCTTCTTCCAAATGTTGGCTACATATTACGGGTTTTTTCTCTGGCCAGAAGTTCGATGGCAAATCCCCCCTCTTCAAGTTGGCGATCCAACGACCAACCCGTCCGTGGAGGATCAGGAATCAGAAAGGTGAAATAACTCTTTTTTTTTACTTTTACCCGATGTATTCCAGCATCCAGCTGCCATGCACGTGGGCATTGTCAGTTTCACTATAGCTCTGGTGAATTTCAATGGTGAAGTCCTCTGGAAATCTTCAATAATTGTTGTTGATTGCAGATGTGTCTAGTAGTTCCCATTGATTTAGCTTGGAAAGCGGGGAGAATGGCGCTAGGCTTACCGCACCGTGACGTCACTGCTGGAAGATGGCAGGAGGGAGGGGCTACTATATTTGGGCAAAAATGGCCGCTCCCAGAGTCAGTGATCGCAATGAAAATTGTTTTGATTTTTTTACCAATTAACACTAAATTAATTAAATCACTGTGAACGTTTTAGTTTTAGGTATAAATAATGATCCACTGGTTGGTTATTCCTGCTGACTGCAGTTTTCCTTTCAGTCAGGAGAAATGAGGAAAACATGAGCAGGACTTCAAAGGTTCGTCTCCTCATCAAGCTGCTCTCACATGAAAGATGCTGAAAGGGGAGGATGTTCAGCCGCTGCATCAGCTCACCTTCTTCTTGTCTTTCTGTGCGGGGGGGAGTAAGGCCCTCGAGCGCTCCGCAATTTTCTGCAATAGAACCAAATGAACAGACAGGATCAATAGAACTATTCTTCTCCATTTTTATCTTTTGTTTCTATGCTGTATCACCGCCTCCATGCATGAGGAAAAATAACTGATGTCTGGTTTATAAATCATCACATTTGGCCACAGCATGGCCTTCAGTTCCAGATACCTTCTGGAGATCTGTGTAGCGCTGCACAGAATCGGAGAGTTCGGTCTTCAGTCTGGTCAGGCGAAGACGATCCTGCTGCGCAACCAAAGCAGATTGTCTCAGATTAGCACCAGTACTTTGTAATCTGTTGTTTATGGCTGTAAATGAAGAGCAGCAGGAAATACCCGTGAAGAGCCGCTGATTATATCTGAGAGCTGCTTGATGAGCTGACTGGTGCTGGTGATGACTTTGTTGGTTTGCTGCTGAGTGGAGTGTCTGCTCAGACAGACAGACAGACAGGAAGTAAAGGACAGAGACGTTAGAAATCTGTGAGGCCACTTTATTAGGTACACAGGGTTAACTCTAATTGATGATAATTAGTCGGATCTTTTTCAGAAACTCCTACATCAGCTTCAGAAACCAGTTTCGTTTTATTCACAGTCCAACTGGAGATTTTCTATAAAACTATAAAACAGTTGAGTTGTTCAACATGAACCTCTTTGTCAGTCCCAGTTCAACGTCTGGAGCCCCTGTCACACCTTGACCATTTAGACCAGCGTATGCCTGACTTAACTACGTTTAGTATAAGTTATAAGCGCGCTGAAGTACGCTGGAACACGTCGACATACGGTGAGTACCTCGAGAACTTTGGAACCTGTTTCAAATGTCCTGCCATATGCCAGCATACGTGGGCCATAAGTTCCAGGTCAGTTATCTGATGGTTCACATACGTTAAGTGTCAGCTACTGTTTAATGGCGTATTGGCAGCGTTTTGGTATAAAGGGGGGTCACAGGAGGAAACCGTCAGTTCTCCTCCAGACTTCATCCCCATCATAGGGTGAGCCAGAAGGTGAGTGATGGATCCCTCCTGCGTTCACGCCCACCACCAACACACTTCCTAGCAGACATGACGCTCAATCTGCTGCCACCAAAACCCTTTCTTCTTTGTCTTTTTATTTATTCTTTTCTTTGGTGGGCTGTAAACAGCGGCTAGGTTAATACTGCGATCAAAGACATCTTTCAAAGCACATCCATCATCTCCGGACGCATCGCTGCCCCCTTCAGAAGCAGTGATGCTCCTGAGGGGGGCAGCTTTAACTGCTGCAGCGTAATGCCCAGGAAATTATGTCTTTGCATCATTTCCTGGGCATTACGCTGCCGTGCATTATGCAGAAGTTAGGCTGTTGTTGGACATACACTCTGGACTCGTTATGAATACTCTATGTATATGACCTATATTGAAAAAATGCATACCTCAATGACTCCCATTAAGGGGTGGAACTGGTTTTCCAGTTTCAATGTTTTCTAAGCCATTTCAAGGCTTTTGCTACACTACTCTAGAAAAGCCTGGAACGCCACGCTAATCCAGGCATTTTGAATCGACAAAGCTTTCAGGATGGGAAGAAAAATGTCTTCAAACTTGGAATATAAATTTAAGTTTTTGGAATAATCAGTTAACCATTCATGTTAATTCATTTCCGTCCTGAAAAGCTTCATTTCATTATTTTAGCCCTTTAAAGGCAGGTTTAGATGTCATCTGACCCACATAGAGGCAAACATAGTGACAGCCATGTTTCCTCCCCTTCATTGATTGTGACAATCCCCCTGAGGTGAAAAGTAGAAAGGACAATTTTAATAACTCTGCTGAAAGCCAGGTGGAGACTGTTATTAAATATCTGTGCTGTCAGGTCATCCTGGGGTCACGACGCACACATCAGTCCTGGCTGCCATGTTCTGACTCCACAGCTTATTGCTCAGGTCTGCAGAGATGAGCTGCTGCACAGAAGCGTCTCCGTCGTATCTACTCAAATATTGATCTCTGTGAAACTGATGGCAGAGGAGGGATGGGCGGGCAGACCGCAGTGGATTAGAGGGAAAGAAGCTTGTCAGCATTACTCTCAGTCTGACAAGTTATGGAGAAAAAAAGTCATTCAGCAAATATTTGTTCTGATGAGGCTCGTTGTCAGATTACAGTTACCTCACCGTCAGTTACCCAGAGTCACGCCCCCTTAAGCTGCTGCACACTTCTGAGAAGCTGAGTAATGTCCTGCTAATTGTGTTCTTCCCTCCGTACATTTGTCCTCCAACTTTTCCATCCAAATGAAACGGTTTCTTTTGAACAGACATAGCAGCTGGTTGGATGGTTTGACTGTTTTTCTTTGTCAGCCATTAAAAACGGCCCTTCCCAGTCAAAATCCAGCTGATTGGCAGCTGAATACCCTCCGACTTCCAGCCACTGGCCTTCTCCTGGGCTTGCATATTTTTTCCTCTGACTCCGTCCTTTCACTGAATTACAGGGTCTGACCAGGAGATAGCGCTTTTCTTTGGATCTTAATGTCCACAAATCATGACAGAAAGAATATTTTAGCACAAAGATTGATGTTTAAAAAGGAATTATAGGGGACCAGCCAAGGACCAGCCAAGGACCAGCCAAGGACCAGCGCAGGACAAGCCAAGGACCAGCCAAGGACCAGCCAAGGACCAGCCAAGGACAAGCCAAGGACCAGCCAAGGACAAGCCAAGGACAAGCCAAGGACCAGCCAAGGACCAGCCAAGGACCAACCAAGGACCAGCCAAGGACAAGCCAAGGACCAGCCAAGGACCAGCCAAGGACCAGCCAAGGACAAGCCAAGGACCAGCCAAGGACCAACCAAGGACCAGCCAAGGACCAACCAAGGACCAGCCAAGGACCAGCCAAGGACCAGCCAAGGACAACCCAAGGACCAACCAAGGACCAGCCAAGGACCAACCAAGGACCAGCCAAGGACCAGCCAAGGACAAGCCAAGGACCAGCCAAGGACCAACCAAGGACCAGCCAAGGACCAGCCAAGGACCAGCCAAGGACCAGCCAAGGACAAGCCAAGGACCAGCCAAGGACAAGCCAAGGACCAACCAAGGACCAGCCAAGGACCAACCAAGGACCAGCCAAGGACCAGCCAAGGACCAGCCAAGGACCAGCCAAGGACCAGCCAAGGACCAGCCAAGGACCAGCCAAGGACCAACCAAGGACCAGCCAAGGACCAACCAAGGACCAGCCAAGGACCAGCCAAGGACCAACCAAGGACCAGCCAAGGACCATCCAAGGACCAGCCAAGGACCAGCCAAGGACCAGCCAAGGACCAACCAAGGACCAGCCAAGGACCAGCCAAGGACCAGCCAAGGACAAGCCAAGGACCAGCCAAGGACCAGCCAAGGACAAGCCAAGGACAAGCCAAGGACCAGCCAAGGACCAGCCAAGGACCAGCCAAGGACAAGCCAAGGACAAGCCAAGGACAAGCCAAGGACCAGCCAAGGACAAGCCAAGGACAAGCCAAGGACCAGCCAAGGACAAGCCAAGGACCAGCCAAGGACAAGCCAAGGACCAGCCAAGGACCAACCAAGGACCAGCCAAGGACCAACCAAGGACCAGCCAAGGACCAGCCAAGGACCAGCCAAGGACAAGCCAAGGACCAGCCAAGGACCAGCCAAGGACCAGCCAAGGACCAGCCAAGGACAAGCCAAGGACCAGCCAAGGACCAACCAAGGACCAGCCAAGGACCAGCCAAGGACCAGCCAAGGACCAGCCAAGGACAAGCCAAGGACCAGCCAAGGACCAGCCAAGGACAAGCCAAGGACCAGCCAAGGACCAGCCAGGGACCAGCCAAGGACCAGCCAAGGACCAGCCAAGGACAAGCCAAGGACCAGCCAAGGACAAGCCAAGGACCAGCCAAGGACAAGCCAAGGACCAGCCAAGGACAAGCCAAGGACCAGCCAAGGACAAGCCAAGGACCAACCAAGGACCAGCCAAGGACCAACCAAGGACCAGCCAAGGACCAGCCAAGGACCAGCCAAGGACAAGCCAAGGACAAGCCAAGGACCAGCCAAGGACCAGCCAAGGACAAGCCAAGGACCAGCCAAGGACAAGCCAAGGACCAACCAAGGACCAGCCAAGGACCAACCAAGGACCAGCCAAGGACCAGCCAACGACCAGCCAAGGACCAGCCAAGGACCAACCAAGGACAAGCCAAGGACCAGCCAAGGACCAGCCAAGGACCAGCCAAGGACCAACCAAGGACCAGCCAAGGACCAACCAAGGACCAGCCAAGGACCAACCAAGGACCAGCCAAGGACCAGCCAAGGACCAACCAAGGACCAGCCAAGGACCAGCCAAGGACCAGCCAAGGACCAACCAAGGACCAGCCAAGGACCAACCAAGGACCAGCCAAGGACCAACCAAGGACCAGCCAAGGACCAGCCAAGGACCAACCAAGGACCAGCCAAGGACCAACCAAGGACCAGCCAAGGACCAACCAAGGACCAACCAAGCACCAGCCAAGGACCAACCAAGGACCAGCCAAGGACCAACCAAGGACCAGCCAAGGACCAGCCAAGGACCAACCAAGGACTAGCCAAGGACCAGCCAAGGACCAACAAAGGACCAGCCAAGGACAAACCAAGGACCAGCCAAGGACCAACCAAGGACAAGCCAAGGACCAACCAAGGACCAGCCAAGGACCAACCAAGGACCAGCCAAGGACCAACCAAGGACCAGCCGAGACCCAGCCAAGGACCAGCCAAGGACCAACCAAGGACCAGCCAAGGACCAGCCAAGGACCAGCCAAGGACCAACCAAGGACCAGCCAAGGACCAGCCAAGGACCAACCAAGGACCAGCCAAGGACCAACCAAGGACCAGCCAAGGACCAACCAAGAACCAGCCAAGGACCAACCAAGGACCAGCCAAGGACCAACCAAGGACCAGCCAAGGACCAACCAAGGACCAGCCAAGGACCAACCAAGGACCAGCCAAGGACCAGCCAAGGACCAACCAAGGACCAGCCAAGGACCAACCAAGGACCAACCAAGCACCAGCCAAGGACCAACCAAGGACCAGCCAAGGACCAACCAAGGACCAGCCAAGGACCAGCCAAGGACCAACCAAGGACTAGCCAAGGACCAGCCAAGGACCAACCAAGGACCAGCCAAGGATCAACCAAGGACCAGCCAAGGACCAGCCAAGGACAAGCCAAGGACCAGCCAAGGACCAACCAAGGACCAGCCAAGGACCAGCCAAGGACCAGCCAAGGACAAACCAAGGACCAGCCAAGGACCAGCCAAGGACAAGCCAAGGACCAGCCAAGGACAAGCCAAGGACCAACCAAGGACCAGCCAAGGACCAACCAAGGACCAGCCAAGGACCAGCCAAGGACCAGCCAAGGACCAACCAAGGACCAGCCAAGGACCAGCCAAGGACCAGCCAAGGACAAACCAAGGACCAGCCAAGGACCAACCAAGGAC